ATCGACCACTCGACAAGCACCACGGCACCACGGAAATCAAAACAATGGAGGCCAGCCCGAAATCTGCGAAAAATAGCCAATGAATTGGGCGGAGTGGAAATAGTGGAAAGAGCAGGCATCCAGAAACGAGGCGGCAAAAGTCCCACCATAAAGTGCAAACGAAAGAGCAAAATTAACTATTTGTGGCGAGAGGCTACACGGAAAATCCATAAATGTTTGGAAACTAAATTGATATGGTCAAATTGTCTAAACAATAGACAATTATTAATTAAGACAATTATTAATTAATTTATTAATTAAATTAAAGTTTACCCAAAGAGAGAGAAATAATCAGAATTATTTTAATTGAAACATTAAAAATTTTAGATACATTGAAGGTATTTTAGAAATTAATTTTTTCATTCGACTCCAATAAATTATTATTAGTATGAGGTATGTTTGAAATTTATGTTTAAAATATATAAATTCTATCTGTGTAATGTTAGGATCAATTTTTATTTTATTTTTTTTCTTTTTTTAAAAAAACAATTTTTGATTAAAATATTTTCAACCTATTTTTAGTTAGTTTTAACCATAGATGATTTTTTTAAACAAATATTTCTTATGCCAAATACTATTATACTTAAATTTAATAATAATAAGAATACAAGCTATTTCCTGTAGTGTAACTCACCATTTAAAGCAAATTTACGGGCCGCTTAAATTGGAAAACAAGCCAAAAGTTGGTATTTGAACTTCAGCTGATTACTCGCTAATTACCTGTGGGATATGAAACTTTTATTTCGACTCCCCGAAGAGCTTTAAAGTGCGTATACGCCGGGTGGGCCGCACTGAGATACAAGCACGTCGCATAACGAAGCAATTAAAAGGAGAAAGAATGCAAATATCCGGCTGACCGAAAAGGAGCAAAACGCAGTGAATTAATGTGGCGTCAAATTGAATGACAAGCCGCTGTCGCCCGACAGACACCAGAAAAGGTGGAAAAAAATGGAGGGCGCAATGGAATTAAAGATGCTGATGGCGCTGATGAGCAGGGAGCCAAAGAAATGGGACGACAATTTCATTTCAAAAATGCAAGATGCCGTGATGAAGCTGATAAAAATGAAGTGGATTCCTCCCGGAATTATAAACATCTGTAAGGCGAGGCGGACAGTCTGGAAAAAAGGCAGCCGGAGAAAGGAGATCCGTAACAAGGGTCTCTGGACTTTGGGAAAGGTGGGTGGGAAGACCTGTTTCCCTGGCACGTTTCAGTTAGTCAAATGGAAGTGGAGTGGACATGGCTGCGGGCCAGACAGACGGACAAAATGATGAACGGAATTACATAAAGTGGGGATGCTGCTCCAGCGGGAAACTGTGTATTCTATAATGAAGATGCCGGCGAACACGCCTGGCTGGCAATCCATTTAAGACTCGTCAAAGGGTTCTCGATGTCCGCCCGGAGACAGGACTCAGGACATTCGGGACTCGGTACTCGGGATCGAAGAAGAAACTGCATTTTAATTGAAGTTTGCCAACAGACAGACAGACAGACAGTCAGTCCTGAAAATAGTACCTACACTACACACTTGTTAAGGCAAATATTCTTAAATAATTGGCAGCAGCCATTGTTGTTTAGGTTTCAATTACATTTAAAAGTTTTGTGGGTGAGTCATGAATTTTTCATGAATTTTATTGCTCAATAGCAGGCAAAAACGAAGGCATGGGAAATCCATAAAACAAAATAAATGCTTCGTTAGAAGCTTTTGTGCGCCCTGGGATAATTTAATATTTTCTTTGACACTCGACAAATCCAAACAATTCCTGGGGCCATAAATGAATGCTTTGTCATGATTTCTTTCATTACAGACCGACACCAAATGACAAACCACACAAGAAGGAATGCCAAAGTCAACGAACGAATGCGAATACGACTGCACACACAATCTGAGAGGCAGGTTTAATGAGAGTAGAGTTACAGTTTCGCCCCCATATGCTGTGTCCCCCAACTATCCCCTATCCAGATCCCAGATCCCAGATTCCAGAACCCTACCCTTCCCCGCATATGTGTGCAAATTATTATCCCAGCCGCATACACACATATATAGATATACATTCGAGTGTTGATTTACATTTTTGATTTATTTTATTTATTTAAGCCCCTGCCTGGTGTCTCTGTGGGTGTGTCGTCGTCTAGGCCACAAAAATGCCAAATGGCAAAGCAACAAAGCTGGCAAAAATATTGCTGCCCATAATTTTCATGCTCTCATTCGTATTTTTCTCCTTTTTTTGCTTTTTGGTTTTTGTGGATTTATCGCAGATTTTGTTCTTTATATAAGTGTTTTGCTGCTTTCTTTGTGCCTGTGGACTGGACCCCGTATTTTGGAATTTTCCGAGAGCCGAGCTGAGCTACTTGAACGGAATTATCATTGGCAGATCTGCAAATGCTTCAATGGCTTACGGAGATTTACAAATAGGCCTGCTGACCTCGGGTTCAAATTACCAGACAGCCAGGAGCTAAAGGCGGTGGGATTATATTAATAACAAGCTGCAGCGAGTAACGAACATTTTTGCAGCCTTCTTGACTTTGGGTCAATCATCAAGTTAAGTTAAGTTTGAAATTCGATGAAGTGTTTGTCTATTAATCAGACATAGAGTTTTAACAATCCAGCACAGAAAGAAATATTCAAGCACATTGTTCTTGAATTGAGAATATTCGCTCTGGAAATTGAGAACATTTGTTCTTGAAATTGACATTATTCAACAACTTTTTGATAAGTTTACTTTACTAATTGTGGAGATAAACGTTGTACATACCGGCAGTAAATTACAAATAATTGCTTTCCTCCGTTATACTTATTAAACACAACTACCTGGATGTTTGTGTCAGATTTTATGATTTCGCCCGCATTTCAGCTGCACATTTGACTCGGGGCAAGTTTACGAATGAATAGGTCAATCGTCAGTTAATTTGAACCACGATGATGCAGTGCTTCAGTGCTAAATGGGCCATAAGTCGTAAATTATATTCTTCCAAGAGGCTGCAAAATTTACGGCCCACCAGTAAAATTTGTCTTAACGTTCTGCCGGTAATTATTTTATTTGCCCTGCGGAATTGGATGTTTCGGCCGAAATGTATTGTTGTCTTTGAGGACGGCGGAACTCCCACAGATGTGCAGCCAAGACCAACAAATAAACAGAGGAGCACCTCGACCCAATTTAAACACAGCCTCACGGGGTGTTAGGCTTAACGAGCCTTTACTGTAGTTCGTTCGTTCGTTCGGTCGAGTGCCCTGTGTATTTTTCATAATTATGTGTGCGCATTACTCATGAGCAGCCAAATGCAAACAGGGACAATGATGCCAGATGCAGAGCGTAAAGTCCGGCACTCCGTAGCCCATACAGTGTACAGTAACTAGGCAAACATTTGCCGTATATTATGGCTAATTTAATTGACTTGCCAAGCTTGCCTTTGCCATGTGTCGTATTGTGCTTGGGTGTCTGTAGCCACGGGGATCGGGAAGTGGGGGCTTCGATACCTCATGTTTGCCTGTGCGTGTGGTTCCCTTTGATGTTAACCAGACTTGTTGAAGAATGTCCCTTATTGACAATACAAGAGCTCCGAAATACCAGAAGGCAAGATATCAAGAACAATCAGTGGCATTAAAGTGGTAAACGGGAGAAACATTATGAACTGTGTACTGAACATGGTGGAAAATAAATAAATAAAAGGTCTTAAATCTGAAATCTATTATAAAGGTGTCTAAAAGTATGCAGTGGAAAATAAAAATTTAACTTTGGGATTGTTTTGCATACTTTTAAGTATATATACATAAGAATATTTTTCATCTTTGAACTATTTCACCCCTATTAAATATCTAACCATATGTAGACAATATTTGAAGCCGGAATTAAATTCTCACGCGTTTTTCAAATGCCTCTCTCGAATATCCAAAGACGACATGTGCCATTTCTGGTGCAAATGTTCTAGGCAAAATATGTGTGGATGGCATACCTCCTTGTGGGCCCAGCATGCTCTATATTCACTTAACTATAGATGCGACACGCACAATTTCGGGTCCTTCTCGGAGGGCATTGTTGTGTGTCTGTGTGCCTGCCCCAAACTGTGAGCATATTTATGCGATGGATCTGACCCTCTGGGATTCCTGGGCTCCTTGTGTCCATTTCGTAATGGGACACGAAGCTACAATAAAGTAGCAATTACCACAAGTAGTAACACATGGAAATAGCGGACAAAGACCCTCGGAAGAACCTTTTTGGATGTTTGGAAACTCGACTACCTATGGATAATTGGGTGAAGAAGAGACACATCAGAAGAGTGGTTATGATTGACATACGGCCACGAAAAACTAAATGAATGGCAAAACATTTTCAATTTAACTTGTGACCAGTTGGAATTTTTATTGAATTTTCAGCCGGAAACAGCAGGAGTTCATGCTTTCACCCTCATCAAAGTTGCGCAAAATATTTCATCTGGCTTAAAGGGGATGGTGAAACACTTTCACTTTAGAGTCGGGAACTATTTAATTATTTCACTTAATATAAAAACTTTAAACTTTTAATTACTAGATAAAATACGCACTTAAAAGTAAAAAGTTTATTTGACATTTTAACCACAATGCAAATAATATCCTCCCAAAAGAATTAAATATTTTCCTGAAAAACGCTGCAGGTGAAGTTAAGTTAGGCAAAATAATTGGTCTAGTTTAAACGAGAATTTTAAACACTTTTACAGGGATAAAACTAGTTTAAAAACTTTAACCGTAAACAAAAATATACGATGCTTTTATTTATTTCTCATACGCAGTGTTGCCGTAATTTATTTGGATACAGTTTAGATTACTTTTAACTGAAAAATGGTGTTATTCCCAGAAAATGCATAAAGTTTTTTGAAAGAAAAATAGATTTGCTTCCCAGAAAACGCCTGAAGTTAAGTTCATCGATTGGCACAGGTAGAAGTTTTCAAAAAAACGCGGAAAATGAAAAGCATCCGCTGCACTTACCATTCACATCACACGTTCAATCTGTTCACTTTGCTGGCGGTTCACGTAGTTAACCAAACAAGGATCGAAATGCTGCAAAAAGTGCACGGCAATCTCTGTTTTCCCGTTTTTTGTTCTACTTCAAACTCCACTCTGCAGTTCAGCCGGAAAAGAATATGAAACCGCGGCGGCAGCTTTGCTTAACTAAATTTTGTTGTCAAAACTTCAATTGTTGGGGGCCGCCAGGACGAAAAGTTCGGGCCAAAACATTTTGACAGGCCGGAAGGAGAGTGGTGAAGAGTTAGGGCCGAAAAAAACTTTCAGAGGAGGCAGGCCGAGTTTCAGTTACGAGCGCACTTAACTATCACGGCCAACTTTGCAGCACTTAACAACACTTGAGCGAAACTTTTAGCTAACCGCATAGACTAGTTTGGCAATATGTTATGCCCTTATCTGTGGCTAATTCGTGTGGTCGCCAGTCGATCTCCTTAGCTTCCCAACCACCAGACGAGAAAAGGATTTTCCGACCAACTCGAGAGCCGAGAGAGCTTGCAACCGCCTCGTCGAAGGAATCACCGCAAACTGTCTGAGCGTGTCCAAGTCCCCAGACAGCAGACTGTTGGCCCGGTTCCTGGCAGCATCGTATGTCCCAGCATCCTAGTCCTTCGGCCGACCGAAACATCGCCTCACTTTATGAATGGAGCGATGTTTTCGGGAACGCCGTGAAATCGGAACCCAGAACGCGCATGCCCACGGGGCGTATGCAAGATTTATGACAGTTGCGCTCGGCCAAAATACATCGAACACGTGGCCGTGGACCTCCAACAAGTGTGATAAGCGTGATAACGCCCCGAACGCAAATCCAACTGTTTTTTTTCGCCACCGAGAGCTGGGCGATTGTCTAAGGTCAGGGACACTGACCGCAGAACGCCGGCACACAAAGTTGGAGGCAGCTCTGAATAGAAAAAGGGAAATATGCTAGAGCCATAAATCTAAACTAATCTGTTTCATTATAAGAAGGGTTAGAAAAAACGGGAAGTAGCTCGACTTGACATATATCTGTGCTCTTTAACAACAAACAAATTATTTATATCTCGAAATTTAAAATTCTGATTTAAGACATTTAAATATTTTCAAGAACTTTTAAAATATTTATTATTTTAGTCTCCTTATCAGTCTCCTTATAATATATTTAAATAAAATATAACAAAATATTTCCATGTCAGGAAACAATATACAATTTTTAGAAAAATCTAACTATGTAAATCCAACGACAGTAAAAGAAAATGTACTGAGAAATTAAATTAAACTTTTTGCTGGCCAGTATCATTACTCATAATAATAATACTGATAAGCCTTTTATTTACATATGGGATGATATCTAAGCCAATCCAATTAGCTCCGCCGTTTCACTTTTGACTTATCTCAAAATTTGAACCCTATCAAGGAAGCGTATTATTCATTCAGAGGGTAACAATGTCGTATGGAGATAAGTTCCAGCTGAATAGTATTCCCTATCAGTCATCGACAGCCGGTGCAATTATGCAACACTTTGCACTTGAGATATCTTTTCTTAGCCATCCCGGCATTTAAGGTGACTTATCACAGATAGGGGGCTAAAACCCCTTAAGCTGGGGTGCACTTTCATTCAGAAATCGCCGGTGACTTATAGAGATAAGCTTTACGGAATTATAGTATTTCCTTATCATCGACTAGGATCGACTACTAAATGCAATTATGTAACCATTTGCACTCGAAGTGATGTTAATTAATTAAACCGGCTGCCATATGATACATCTCATCAGTCCGACAAACTTGCGGTGCGACTACCTCTTGGGAGGCGGATTGAGTGGGCGTGGCTGTCCCAGGGGCGTCTCATTATAATGCGCATTATTAACTGACACCTCCTGTCACGCCTGAGTAGGCAAAGCGACCACTTTGAGGGAATCCGCCAGAATGGACGCCCAAAACCGCCAATCAAATCGGCATCGAATCGAAACGGAACGGAACATGCCCCGAAAATGTGAAGGACTTAAAGCTTTAAGATGCAGTTTCCGGGCTGTGGAAACTCTGCATTTGCATGCCAATCTCTGGGAGCATCTTGTCCGGGTGCTTTTCCGGGTCCTTTTCCTACTGCATTTTCCATGCCCCTTGGCCCCTGCCCCCTGCTCATTTTGCCAAACAAATTCAGAAACACTTTAAACTATTTTGCTCGCTTTTTGGCCGTTCTGTCTGTAATTTCATGTTAATATATGCATGCTGGGGATGTACGAACTCCAGGAACTCCCGGAACTTTTGGGAGGTGGCGCCCGCGTTTGTGGGGCGCCGACACACACACACAATGCAAATAGCGCAACAGGGCGTGGCCCCGCCTCAAAAATATTACAACCATAATAAAATGCCGGCGTTGAGTTCATTTAAAAGGAACTATTTCGGTAGGTTCTTTGATGGTAGCACAGAGCTGAATTTAAGTGAAGTTTAAGGAGAGAAAATAGTTGCAATACCACAATCTTGGTTGGGAGTTTAAGAAAAAGTAACACGACCGAGAAATTATAGATATATAATTACTTGCATCTTTTTTTATTACCTTCTACATTTTTAAAAAAATATCAAACCAAAAAGGAAATTCAAATAGCTCTTCTATCCCTTTCCTTATAAAGTTTTTTTTTGCCAATGAAATTAAAAAGTAAAATATTGTTATAATAAAGCAGCAATGAGACAGTTTTAAACATTTCGGTAAATATTTTATTATCAACAATTAATTATTAAAATATAAATTATTTTAAAAATGCATTTCCGATGCAAATTCTTCTTGTCAACTATTTTAGTTTCTCAATTAGTCATGGTTTCGCAGGGGATCCCGGCACGCGTCGTTGCCAGGGCGCAAAAAATACGGAAGTCACTGCCTAATTTGAGCGGAAATTAAAATGAAATCGACTCGAACCAGATTAGACGGGGGCCCATAACAAAAATCAGCTGATGTTACCCTTACCCATAAATCTTGGGCTTATTTTTGCCAAACTTTGGACTCCGCGCGTGTGCCGATTGCCGCTTAATTGATATGATAAGCGACCCTCCCGCAGGCGATATAAAAGACAATGTAGGGCCGACTGGCTACTCAGTAGCGAATTAAAACCGGACTAGCAAAATGCCGACCAAGGCGGTTTTCCCCACCTTCTACAACCAGGAGACGAAGATCTGGAGCGGCCCGCCGAGGCCCACGATGTATGCCCAGGACACGTCGATAGGCCAGATCGTCTTCAACTCGCTGCGCTGCTGGCCCACCAATGTGATTCAGGTAAACGATTGTTTGGCTAGCCGGATATCCGGGGTCTGATGAGCTCGATTATATAAAAGTAGATCACCGACGACGACGGCACCGTTCTGACCAACGCCGACATGCTGGCCTACGCCACCCGGATCGCCCTGTTCTTCAAGAGCGCGGGCCTCACCCAGGACGACCGCGTGGGCATCATCGCCAACTCCAGCACCTTCGTGATCCCCGTGGCCACCGCCTGCTTCTTCCAGGCCACGCCCTTCCACGCCGTCAACTATTCACGGGAGCCGGCCATCGTCAAGGGACTCTTCTCGGTCACCAAGCCCAAGATCATGTTCATCGACGGATCCGACTACGACCGCATCAAGGAGATCACCCAGGAGTGGTCGCCTAAACTGATAACTCTCACTGGCAAAGTGGAGGGCGTGACGAGCATCGAGGATTTGGTCAAGCCCCATCCCGCCGAGAAAATCTATGTGTAAGTAAAGATATTTCACTACTTTACAGATTTTAAAAAATTTAGCCATTTATTTCGTAATTTGACCCTTATCTTGAAGTAAAAAGATGATTTTTGGTCAAAATTAATTGATAGCAATAACATTATTTAAATTCTATATTCAATCAGATTTAGAAATTATAGACACTTAGGGCCGGTTTCTCGAGTGCCGGCTAACATTTCTCGAACAGATAAAGTCCCTGCTAAGGCATTTTGACTTTCTCGAGCATGAATGTGGGAGCTAACTTTGACAGGGACTCGGAGTCCCTGTTAAGCGTTTTCGACTCGATAGAATGACAGCTGATTTGCCAAAGCCAACTAAGAAGAAGAAACGAAATCACTGCTGACTTTTCCTTTGAATTACACCCAAACAGCTGGTAAAATAATCGAGAAACCGACCCTTAATCGTAGAATTATGACAGTTAATATTTTGTTATCATTGTATTATGGCATTTTTGAATGATTTTTATCGACAATTTTTAATAATATATACTAAATGATTTTAAGGTAATTTATTAATTCTCTGTAAAATATAAATTTATCTTTTTAATAGATTCCAATTCAATAATTTGATAATTTTTTAATTTTTTTTAAATTTAAATTTTAAGCTCAATTTTTTAAAAATTTGTTGCATATCAGTTTCTTTAACCCTTTAATTAATTATTTAATTTTCTTACCCCCTTCCAGACCCGCTTCCTTGGCCACTGGTGGTGACCAGATCGCCGTGGTTCTGTGCTCCTCCGGCACAGCCGGTTTGCCCAAGGCCGTGGCCCTCTCCCACCGCCACATTGCATCGACCAACTCGTGAGTTCTAAACGGAACCCCTGAAAGATGCCCCTACTAACCCATATACCCTCTGTAGTCTCTGCATCAGTACCGACGTGCTGTACACCAGTGCCACCATTGACTGGATGACCGGATTCTCGATTACCGTAATGAATCTCACCTGTGGCTTCACTCGCATCATTTCCCAGAAGACCTTCAGTGCGGAGACGGCCCTGTATATGATCAACAAGTACAAGGTCACCTGCCTGGCGATGGCCCCCTGGCAGGCCTACGAGCTCTACACCAGTCCACTGGCCACTCCCGAGAAGCTGGCTCCCCTGAATATTGCCTTTGTGATCGGTGGCTGGATTTCCCTGGCTCTGCTTCGCAAGGCACAGGAGCTGATGCCTCGGACCTACGTGATGTTCTCGTATGGAACCACGGAAACGGGCGTGGTGACCATCAACGTGGATCATAATCTGGAGTGCTCGGTGGGCCGACTGGCGCCCGGCATGAGGATCAAGGTCATTGGCGAGGACGGTCAGCAGTTGGGAGTGAATCAAACGGGAGAGGTGCTTATCGATATCGGCCTGAAGTGGGAGGGCTACCTGGCCAATCCCGAGGACACGGCAGCCACGCTCCAGAATGGATGGATCAACCTTGGTGACCTTGGCTACTTCGACGAGGACAATAACCTCTACCTGGTGGACCGCAAGAAGGATCTGTTGAAGTACAAGTCCAAGCACTATTGGCCCAACGAGATCGAGCAAATCATCGCCGAGCTGCCGGAAGTGGAGCACGTGTGCGTGGTGGGAGTTCGGGATGCTCGGTATGGCGATGCCGCCGGAGCTCTGATCATCAAGAAGGAAGGAGCTGAAATCGCCGAGGAGAAGATCATCGATCACGTGGCCCAGCGGGTGGTGGTGGACTACAAGCAGCTGAATGCCGGCGTCATCTTCGTGGACAAGTTCCCCAAAAATGCCAATGGCAAAGTCATGAGGAGCCTAGCTCGTGACGTCTTC